CCGAATAAAGATCGATACTATTTTGGTCAAGGCTTCAAAACAATCAATACGTCTAATCGTAACTAGAGAATAACTTTCAAATGTTTATTCAAAATAACCAAGTCAATAAGTTATTATCAGAAGTATACAGACAGACTGCCGCAGTGAAACGTTGGTCATTTGTCCTGCCTTCGCGACTGAGTCGAAAGTTTTTACTGAAAACGCAAGCTGTTTTCGAAAGTTGTAAATTTTGAGCTTACCCACCGAAAGGTGGGCAGCCGCCAGGCATTTGAATTTGAAAATTACAATTTTGTGCAAAAGGACTCACGCAGGGGCAGCAAGGAGGACAACACGGAGGAGGAAGAGGTGGTGGACAAGGACAGCATGGAGGAGGAGGAGGACAAGGACAGGGACAGCATGGCGGACATAGTACAGGAGTTGGCACAGGGCATGGAACAGCAATTTCTTCGATCACAGGGTACGGTACGGGCTCAGGACACGGGACCGGGTACGGTGCTGGCACGGGCACAGGGCAGGGGACGATTGGGACCGGTTGGCGTACTGGCACCGAGACTCTCTTTTGGATCTTCACTGGATAGGGACACGGCACTTTGCATGGGACACCCACTGGCACACGTACGGGACATTGGACATGGATCGGGGCTGTCGGTGGCAGACAGGGCTGAAAAAGAGCGAATTCAGCGAAAATATTACAACAATGAAAGCTTACCTCACAACATTGGGTAGGACAAGGGCAGCAACAACAGCAACCGCCTCCACCCATCATTCCTGGGTTGCCGGGTCCTCCTAGAGGTCCTCCACCTGGTCCCACATTTATCATCGGTCCCGGTATTCTTCCCATCGGTGGAACTGCAGGACCTCCTGGTGCTTGCGGAACAGGTCCTGGAATTCCTGCTGAACCTCCCGTCCCTCCATTCCCATCTCCTGATCCGCCAAGTCCACCCAGGTTATTTCCCAGGTTACCTCCTAGATTACCCAGGTTTTCACCTAGGTTACCCAGGTTATTACCCAGGTTACCCAGATTACCACCTAGGTTACCCAGCGCATTGCCGAGGTTTCCCAGTGGACTTCCCATTCGTCTCCATCTGAAAGCGTTCGAGTGCGGATCTGTGTCATTTTCTTG